ACATATGATAACAAGTGCTGTTGAGAATGTGGAAAAATTGGAACCCTCATAGACAGCTGGTGGGAATGGTGCAGCTACTTTGGGAAACATCCTGGCAGTTCCTCAGATACTTACCATGTGATGTAGAATTCCACTCCTAGCTATATCCTCAAGAGAACTGAGAACATATGTCCACACAAAAACGTGTATATGAAGTTCATAACAACATAATTCTTAATAGCCAGGTGCAATGGCTCATGCCTGTAATCCCAGCACTTTGAGAGGCTGAGGTGAGAGGAGGCCAGTTTGAAGCTAGCCTGAGCAACATAGTAAGACACCATCTCTACAAAAAAAATGAAAAAAAATAGCCAGGCTGGTGGTATGCACCTGTAGTCCTAGCTACCTGGGAGGCTGAGGTGGGAGGATCGCTTGGGCCCAGGGTTCAAGGCTGCAGTGAGCCATGATCACACCACTGGAATCCAGCCTGGATGACAGAAATCCCATGCATCTTAAAAAAAAAAGGCAATATAATTTATAATAGCTAGAGTAGAAACAGTTCAAATGTCCATTAATTGATGAGTGGATAAATAAAATATAGTATATCCATATAATGGAACATTATTCAGCAGTAAGAAGAAATGAAGAACTGTTACATGCTACAACATGGATGAACCTTAAAAACATTACTAGGAGGCTGAGGCGGGTGGATCACCTGAGGTCAGGAGTTTGAGACCAGCCTGGCCAACATGGTGAAACCCCATCTCTAGTAAAAATATAAAAATCTGCTGGGCATGGTGGCAGGCACCTGTAATCCCAGCTACTTGGAAGGCTGAGGCAGAAGAATTGCCTGAACCCAGGAGCCAGAGGTTGCAGTGAGCCAAGATTGCACCACTGTACTCCAGCCTGGGCGCCGAGCAGTACTCTGACTCAAAAAACAAAACAAAAACATTTTTATAAGTGATAGAAGCCAGATGCAAAGACCATATATTGTATGATCCTATTTATATGGCTTGAATTATTGCAGAGCAAAAAACCAATCAGGGAATTCTCTCTGGAGGTGGATGGCATTTCCTTTGCCTATACTTGAATTTTTTTTCTTCCTCAAATCTTACTTTTAGGGACAGCATTAACATTTTATGTTACTTTTTTCTTTTTGTTTTTTAGGACCCTGGTTTGATATGTACCTAACTGCTCGAGACTCCATTGTTCTGAACTTTAATCCATTTATTGCTTTCAATCCTGACCCAAAATCTGAGTACAATGACCAGCTCACCCGGGCAACCAACATGACTGTTTCTGCCATCCGGTTTCTGAAGACACTGCGGGCTGGCCTTCTGGAGCCAGAAGTGTTCCACTTGAATCCTGCAAAAAGTGACACTGACACCTTCAAGAGACTCATACGCTTTGTGCCTTCCTCTCTGTCCTGGTACGGGGCCTACCTGGTCAATGCATATCCCCTGGATATGTCCCAGTATTTTCGGCTTTTCAATTCAACTCGTTTACCCAAGCCCAGTCGGGATGAACTCTTCACTGATGACAAGGCCAGACACCTCCTGGTCCTAAGAAAAGGAAATTTTTATATCTTCGATGTCCTGGATCAAGATGGGAACATTGTGAGCCCCTCAGAAATCCAGGCACATCTGAAGTACATTCTCTCAGACGGCAGCCCCGCCCCCGAGTTTCCTCTGGCATACCTGACCAGTGAGAACCGAGACATCTGGGCAGAGCTCAGGCAGAAGCTGCTGAGTAGTGGCAATGAGGAGGGCCTGAGGAAAGTGGACTCTGCTGTGTTCTGCCTCTGCCTAGATGACTTCCCCATTAAGGACCTTATCCACTTGTCCCACAACATGCTGCATGGGGATGGCACTAACCGCTGGTTTGATAAATCCTTTAACCTCATTATCGCCAAGGATGGCTCTGCTGCTGTCCACTTTGAGCACTCTTGGGGTGATGGTGTGGCAGTGCTCAGATTTTTTAATGAAGTGTTTAAAGACAGCACTCAGACCCCTGCCATCACTCCACAGAGCCAGCCAGCCACCACTGACTCTACTGATGCCGTGCGGAAACTCAACTTCAAGCTGAGTGATGCCTTAAAGACTGGCATTACGACTGCTAAGGAAAAGTTTGACGCAACCATGAAAACGCTCACTATTGATGGCATCCAGTTTCAGAGAGGAGGCAAAGAATTCTTGAAGAAGCAGAAGCTGAGTCCTGACGCGGTGGCCCAGCTGGCCTTCCAGATGGCCTTCCTGCGGCAGTACGGGAAGACAGTGGCCACTTACGAGTCCTGCAGCACTGCTGCATTCAAGCACGGCCGCACTGAGACCATCCGCCCAGCCTCCATCTATACGAAGAGGTGCTCTGAGGCCTTTGTCAGGGAGCCCTCCAAGCACAGTGCTGGCGAGCTTCAGCAGATGATGGCTGACTGCTCCAAGTACCATGGACAGCTGACCAAAGAAGCGGCAATGGGTAAGGCAGTGGTGGGCAGCATGCCCTTGGGTCTTGTCCTCAGTGCCTGGGGAAGCAAGCCTAAGTCATATTCTATCCCAAATCTGGTTTTTACCCCTTCACTAGGTTTAATCCATCACCAACTCCCAAGATGTTTTTTTTTTTCTACTGTTGCAGTCTGAACAGCCACATTAGCCACTAGGGATCAGAAAGCTCTTGCCTCCTAAGCAGGGGTAGGTAATTGCATCTGACATTGTCCTCATTTAAGGTCACTTTCATTTGTGACACTTAATTATCCTTTTTATTTATTTTTGGAGACATAGTGTCATTCTGTCACCCAGGCTGGAGTGCAGTGGTGCAATCCTGGATCACTGTAACCTCTGCCTCCTGGGTTCAAGTGATTCTCCTGCCTCAGCCTCCTGAGTAGCTGGGACTACAGGTGTGTACCACCGTGCCTAATTTTTGTATTTTTAGTAAAGACGGGGTTTCACTGTGTTGGCCAGGCTGGTCTCCAACTCCTGACCTCGTGATCCACCTGCGCTCCCTCCCTGTGCTGGATTACAGGCATAAAGCCACTGTGCTGGGCCTAATTTTTAAAATTTTTTTGTAGAGATGAGGTCCCACTGTATTGCCCAGGCTGGTCTCAAACTCCTGGGCTCAAGTGATCCTCCTGCTTTGGCCTCCCAAAGCACTAGGATTATAGATTACAGGCATGCACCACAGCACCCAGCCTCCTTTTTCTATTACTCATTGGATATCAGACTTACTTTTGAACATTTAGGATTTCTAAACTCACGGCCCCTCTAACTTCATTTCAGTTGCAGTGTGTGTGTTCCCAGTAAATAGGTCATTCTTTCCAAATGTCATCCATCATTACCTTTTTTTGATAAAATTCAAGACCTGGAAAGGACCTGGAGGGTCACAGTTGTCCTTTCATGTCACCATAAAGTGCTGGAAGTGAAAGGGACCACCAAGACATTCTAGTCTTCTCTTCCCTCCATTTTATAGGCAGAAAACCAAGCCACTGGCCCCGTTACACAGCAAATTAGTAGTAAGGCTGAGATTACAACCCTGGTCCAACAGCCTTTCCATTTTGGTCCCCTGACTCAATCTTCTCTTTTATGCTTGAATCAGACTTGTAGTTTTATCTTAGTTTTTGAGTCCACACTCTCTTCCTGTGCTGTGTTGACTCTGACTAAACTGATTTCGAATCTTTAAAATTATGCTTTCCTTTTAGGCTCACTTTTAGCTCAGCTGTTCACAGCTATTTTTCAGTATGACATATTTTCTAAATAATTTAAAATATTCTAGCTTGAGCTGCTCCAAAGGTTAGTCAGCTGGTGGTGTGCGTAGAGGTAAACAGAGCCTTCCCCAACTCTCAAGGATGCCGTGAGGGTGATTCCTACCATGTGGTGAGTGGGGAGGTTTTCCTCAGGTCCTTTTCCATCCTGAGACTCTGATTTTCCATTTTGTTTCTCACAGGCCAAGGCTTTGACCGACACTTGTTTGTTCTGCGGTACTTGGCAGCAGCCAAAGGTATCATCTTGCCCGAGTTCTACCTGGACCCTGCATACGAGCAGATAAATCACAATGTCCTGTCTACAAGCACTCTAAGCAGCCCAGCAGTGAACCTTGGGGGCTTTGCCCCGGTGGTCTCTGATGGCTTTGGCATTGGGTATGCTGTTCATGACAACTGGATAGGCTGCAATGTGTCTTCCTACCCAGGCCGCAATGCCCGGGAGTTTCTCCAATGTGTGGAGAAGGCCTTAGAAGACATTTTTGATGCCTTAGAAGGCAAATCCATCAAAAGTTAACTTCTGGGCAGATGAAAAGCTACCGTCACTTCCTCATCATGAAAATTGGGAAGCCAGACATGGTGGCTCATGTCTATTATTCCAGCACTTTGGGAGGCCAAGGCAGGTGGATCACTTGAGGTCAGGAATTTGAGACCAACCTAGCCAACATGGTGAAACCTCGTCTCTACTAAAAATACAAAAATTAGCCAAGTGTGAATTGTGCCTATAATCTCAGCTACTCAGGAGGTTGAGGTTGCAGTGAGCCGAGTTTGTACCACTGCACTCTGGCCTGGGCGACACAGCGAGACTGTCTCAAAACAAAAACAAAAAAGAACGGCTGGGCGCAATGGCTCATGTCTGTAATCCCAGCACTTTGGGAGGCTGACGTGGGCGAATCACAAGGTCAGGAGTTTGAGACCAGCCTGGCCAACAAGGTGAAACTCTGTCTCTACTAAAAATACAAAAATTAGCCAGGTGTGGTAATGGGTGCCTGTAGTCCCAGCTACTCAGCAGGCTGAGGCAGGAGAATTGCCTGAACCCAAGAGGCGGAGGTTGCAGTGAGCTGAGATCACACCACTGCACTCCAGCCTGGGTGACACAGCAAGACTCAGTCTCAAAAACGAAAATTGGGGACTGTGTAGCCAGTGGGTGCTATTCTGTGAAACTAATCATGAGTGTCTAGGAACCAACTACAGGCTTGAGCTTTAAAATCATGGTTTTAAAGCTAAACCTGTAATTTCCGAGTGGGACTAGATCACAACCAAAGATAACGAGAGATTTCAGTTTTAAGTGCATTTAATCAGGAGGAAGGGTTTGGAAAACTAACTCAGGTCTATTTATTGTTTATGCGGAAATAAAGTTTTATTTTTGCTTGAAGATGGTTCTTAATTTTTTAAAACCTAATTCCTAATCCTCACAAAGATCTTTCCAACAGCAAGTTCAGTAAGTTCGGGTTACAGTAAGTTGCCATTGGCTTCTGGCTCATTGAGTGATGGTGGGATTGCAGTTTCGTCTTCTCTACAAACTTGCCCCTCACTGAGGAGATTCCATCTCCTTAAAAATACTCTTCATTTTCCTAAGGAGTAAACTGCTGCTGCATGAGTTCCTATTTGTGGAGGGAGCAGCTGCCACCTGACTTCACCTTCACGCACCAGTGCAGCACGAACAGGGGCTTTTTTGATGGGGCTTGGGAAGCTGCAATAAAGTCCAACATGCAGATTGTGAATGTTTGGTACAGCCGCCAGGAGACAAGGGACAAAGGAACCAGCCCCTGTGGGCTCTGCTGCTTAGAGTACTTTGTCCTTTCTCAGTTCAAGTGTGCAGGAAGAGGGGTCAGCACTTCACAAACTGGTGGGTGACCTCGTAGATTCCCACAGACTCCTGGGCCTTTTCATCATAGTCAGTCCAGTCCTGGGAAACAAAATAGCAATGTCAGCCTCCCAAGGCAGAATGGAACAGTGGAGAGCAGAGAAATGGGACTTAAAAGCCCTAGCTCAGGCTCTGACTCAAATACGCATGAACATGTATGACCCTGAACAGAGCCAGATAGCTCAGGCCTAAATTCCAGCTCTTTCAGCTGTGTGACTGTAGGCAAATCACTTAACTTCTCTGAGCCTCTTTTCCAAGTCCTGTCTTCTATTTAAAAAGCCAAAAAAAAAAAAAAAAAAAAAAAGAAAAAGAAAAAGGACAAGGTAGTTCATATCGAATGTTGAAATAATCAAATGAGGTAACACATTTAAAAGCATTTACCAGCCGGGTGCCGGGCGCAGTGGCTCATGTCTGTAATCCCAGCACTTTGGGAGGACAAGGCAGGTGGATCATTTGAGGTCAGGAGTCCGAGACCACCATGGCCAACAAGGTGAAAGCCTGTCTCTACTAAAAGTACAAAATTTAGCCAGGGATGGTGGCAGGCACCCATAATCCCAGCTACTCTCGTGGCTGAGGCAGGAGAATCACTTGAGCCCAGGTGGCAGGGATTGCCGTGAGCCAAGATTGTGCCACTGCACTCCAGCCTGAGTGACAGAGCAAGTCCGTCTCAAAAAAATAAAAAAATCAGCTGGGCGCGGTCGCTCACGCCTATAATCCCAGCACTTTGGGAGGCCAAGACAGGCAGATCACGAGGTCAACAGATCAAGACCATCCTGGCCACCATGGTGAAACCCTGTCTCTACTAAAAATGGAAAAATTAGCTGAGCGTGGTGGCGTGCACCTGTAGTCCCAGGTACTCGGGAGGCTGGGGCAGAAGAATCATTTGAACCCGGGAGGCAGAGGTTGCAGTGAGCCAAAATCGTGCCACTGCACTCCAGCCTGGCGATAGAACAAGACTCCATCTCAAAAAATGAAATAATTAATTAATTAATTAATTAAAAGCACTCAGCATAGTACCTGGCACACGTAAGAGCTCAGTAAATGCTAGCTGCTGCTATTATTAGATGCTATGCAAATGAAATCAAGTTTTTGTCCTTCCTTCAAGGCCTGAGCACAAAGCTTTTCTAACTGCAGGCTAGTAATACATCCACTAATATAGACTACTTCTTCTTCTTCATGGTATTAGGCTCAATAAAGCCACCAAAAACACTGAATTAGGAAATACTGAATGAATACTCCCAGGGAAAATACAGGGTTAGGTTCCCATGAGCCTCTAGTAACATTTTCATCAACCAATCAATAATCTTACTTTATGTGTTTCTGTTTAAAGATACCTTATTTAATATATACTGTTGATTCCTGAACACTGAACTCACAGCCAGCAGCACGACAGCTCATGCCTGAATAAAGCTTATCTGTCTAACACGTATTCTCTCTGTAAGGGACACAGCTTTATTACATGTAGGGACGTTAGAAAGCACTTCAGCACTATACTTGAGGCCATTTAAACAGCAAAATCACAAACATACAAAAGCACAAAAATATGAAGTTGGCTTTCCATTGATGAGCCTCATTCACCAAAAAATAATTCTCACCAGGTACCCTATAGTACCTCATAAAGCCCCCAAGTCTCATACCTTCTCCTGCAAATTAATGTCACTGAAGACTGTCCCCGACTCCGCACCTTCAGCAGCAAACCCAGCCTGCAGGGGACAAGGTGGCAGTTAATCTTGGGAGAAGGAGGCACTAGGCTCTATGTGAGGGCTGGCCAGGTTGCTGGCTCTTCTCACGCCTTTGGGATGGTGGGCAGAGATGCAGTATGAGCACTTGTCTTGGAATACCTGCTGAGCTTCCAGGACCCAGCAGCTACCTCAGAACTAGAGTGGTGGTTTCTCTGAATTACAGCCCTGGACTAGAAGGCAGCAGGTGCAGAGTAAACCTTTCCACTACCCATGATGAGCTGAAGGCCCCTGGGCATGTCATTTCCCAGGCTGGACCTTAGTTATTTATCAAATGGGGAGGAAGTATTTCCTCTTCTGCCTATCTCACAGATTTGTTGTGAGGTGAAACACCGTACAAATAAAAGGGGATGAGCACTAGCTCTGGAGTCAGATAGACCTGGGTTGAAACTATAGCTCCATGGCTTACTATGTGACCCTGAGCAAGTTGCAAAACCTCTTCAGTTTCTTCCTCATCTGAAGAATAGGATGAATAAATTCATAGGGTTACTAAGAGCATTTTTTTTTTTTTTAGACAGTCTTACTCTGTCACCCAGCTTAAAGTGCAGTGGCGCAACCTTGGCTCACTGCAACCTCTGCCTCCCAGGTTCAAGCGATTACTCTGCCTTTGCCACCCAAGTAGCTGGAACTACAAGCGCCCACCACCATGCCCAGCTAATTTTTTGTATTTTTAGTACAGATGGGGTTTTACCATGTTAGCCAGGATGGTCTTGATCTCCTGACCTCATGATCTGCCCACCTCGGCCTCTCAAAGTGCTGAGATTACAGGGGTGAGCCACCACACTCAGCTACTATGAGGATTAAGCATGGGAACATGTAAAAATGAAGAGCATGGGTGCCCAGGCATACAGCAGCCATTTAATACGGGACAATTATCACTATTGCTAAAAAGGAGAATGTCTAGTCCATGGTCTCTACAGCTCTGGCTGTCACTTCATATATCCCTTTCCCAAAGATAGAGATTCCCAAGGAAGATACACACACACCTGAGGCTGGAAATCAACTGGTTCAAGGCCTCGGCACTCAAACTCCACTATTGTCTTGAAGTTCTCATTGTCTTCAGCCTAGAAAGAAAGTGTATTGAGGTAGGCCCAAATGAACTCTCAGAATGACCCTGTGGCCCCTCTCCTTCCTGCCAAGGGGGCATTTACTGCCCCTGGAGGCCTAGCATGAGTCGCAAGAACAACTCATCCCCTTCTCAGAGGAAGCCTGCCTTAGGCACCTACTCCCTATGAGGCTTTCTGTAGACATGGAGGCTGCAGGAGAACAGTGTGGATGCTGGGTCAGCCTGCCTGGATGGGAGGTAAGCTGCCTCTCTTCCCCCTCTGGGCCCAAGATTCCTAAACTGTCAAATAGAGCCGAAGAAACCTCTACAATTCTATTGTCAGATTTTGAAATGCATATAAAGTGCCCAGCACAGTGCTCAATAAATAGTAAATAAAATTATCAACACCAAAAACGTGAACAAGAATGTTAAGCTCTTAAGTCTCAGATCATCCAAACAGACCCAGCACACTTAGCCATAGCCTTTTGCTCACCATCTGCCACGCAGCAAGGGCGGAGGGCTGGCTTAGAGCCTTTGAAATGGTAACATATGTGGAGGGGGCATACACGAGGCAGAATGGAACAGTGTGGAGAGCAGAGAAGTGGGACTTCAAAGCCCCAGCTCAGGCTCTGACTCAAATAATCATGAACATGTATGACCCTGAACAGAGCCAGATAGCTCAGGCCTGAATTCTAGCTCTTTCAGCTGTGTGACTGTGGGCAAATCATAGCCTCTTGTGGGGTTAGGTGGCCAGGAAATTCATGCCTACCTGACCTAGGGGCTTAGGGACCACAAGTGCCATGCCCCCACATTCAGTCTCATCCTGTCACTCACTGTAAAATTACTCACTGTAATTTCCTGCACACTGACCACATCTGGCACTGGTAAGGCGCTTCTCTGTTAAACCCTAGTTTGATTATTGCTTGTATTTTCCACTAGATTATTATTAACTTGTGGGCAAGGCCTCATTTAATTTCTCTTTAACTTCAGGACAGAGCCTAGAATTTGGCACAACTCAAGATACTTTAAATAAATACAGAATACAGAATGGGTGAATACAAATAACTGGCTTTCTTTAAACAAACAGACCTAAAGCACACGCTCCCTCACTCACCTTTGGGCTAACTTGTTATGCAGTTACGTATAACTATTTAATAACACTGATGCCATAAAGGATAGGATGCACCAAGCTCTACCCTAACTATGGTTCAGAGAAAGCTTGCTAGTCCCCTAAAACGAAGACAAGGCAAGTGCTCTCAGTGATGCAATCTGAACACTGAGGTTGGCTCAGAGTTATACTGGCAACAGCCCATATACCAAGCATTCAGTGTACGGCGAATAATGACTGAGTGAACGAAGAACCGAATTCATGAGTGATAATGTCCTATGGCAGGTCACTCTGATGCAGGCGTGAGTCCAGAACCCAGACAGTAGCTACTAACTCCAGTTAGGATTTAACCCCACCATGCCTGCCACTACAGCAGCAAACTTACATTGTAAGGCTTGATGGTGCTGCTTAAAATTTCTGAAACAGAAAAGAGAACACAAAGTTGAATTGGGTCCATTCCCTGGTCCCACCCGGATGCACAGATCTGGCCCTGGAAAAAGATCACACTGCACAGGTGTTGCATCTTAGGCCCGACTCCACCCACAGGTAACATGAGCCTACTTTCAGCCTGCTGCCAGGAAGCTGTAGGCCCCCCTGGCAAAATTCAGTACACACAGCCTGACCTACCGATGGAATTTTCTCTTGCACACAACTTGCACTTCTGGACCATGGAAGCACTGCCACGGCCCCCCTTCAGTGCCACACTGTCCTGGCAAAGAGCAAACAGAACTTTCAGTCACATATGAATTAGATGCAGGGTCCTGAGGAGATCAACCCCACCACTAATTGTCCAGTTAAAAGAGACCAAGACCCAGAGAGGGTAACTTAGGCTCTTGGCGAGCCTTCCTGAGGAAAAGAAAGAAGGGCTTCCCCTTGATTTTGAACTCTGCCTCATACCTCAAAAATGCCTGTTGAACTCAGTGCCAATCACAGTGACATGTGCCCTCCCAAACCACAAAAAGCAGACAGCAAAGAACTGGAGAGAAGGCCAGTTTCCCCAAATCCCTGCTCAAGAAGTGTATGTGTGTTTGCAAGTATGTATGTTTGGGGTGGGGAACAGTTACCATCAGCCGGATGTACTGCCACTTGTCTGAAATCTCACCACAGTTGCCACATTTCATCTTTGGGGGAAAAAGAATGTTAGTAAAGCAGTTGGCTTAGCTGCGCAGACACCAAGGTAAGGGTAAGAAAAGTGGGAGGTGGGCAGGCTCATGACCTACCCTGTTGTTGGCAATCTCACTTCATCCTTAACAACAGCCCCAACAAGGACATAACTAGACTTATCTCTGGGCAAAGGACAAGTAAGGCTGTTTCCTACACCAGCGTGCCCACCCTCCTCCATGAAGTGCTCAGTGTGGGTGGGGATTCTAGGCTTTCATGGTATAGAGATGGCTTCAACAGGGGAGGGGGAAATAGGGAGAGATTTGATCAAAGATATGGGAGGAATAAGTTCTAGTGTTCTATAGCACTGTAGGATGACTATAGCTAACAATAATAGTTTCGAATAGCTAGGAGGAGGATACTGAATGCTCCCAACACATCCCAACACAAAGAAATGATCCATGTTTGGGAAGAATATGCTAACTACCTTGATCTGATCACTATACATTACATATATCACAACATCACTATATACCCCATAAATATGTACAATTCTTATGTGTCAACTAAAAAAATAAAGAGAGAAATGGACTCACCAGGCCCCCCATCCACTCTGCTTGGTTAGAAGCTTTATGTTCCCACAGGCCCTGTATGTCACTGGTTTAAGTATTTATCATTGATGTTACTCTATTTTTCTGTCTCCTTCACTAGATTCTGCTTCTTGAGGCCAAAGAACAGATTTTCCCAAGTAAGCCCTGGTATTCAGGCTTCAAAATACTGGGAAATAAAAGCAGTCGGGAGGCGGCTTCCCGAAGAACAGGGCTTTTAAGAGGTAGAGGATGCTGGGATTTAGAGCAGGAGGAAAACAGAGCAGAAGCTCTGCGATCTGAAAGAGTTTAGAGCCTCGAACTGCGGGGTAAGGGAAGACCTCTGTGGACATGTCACTAGAGTACCAGCTTTACCAGTGTGGGAGGGGAACGGAGGAGTGGATTATGCATAAAATTAAACTATTTCACAATAAAGAAAACCAAATAAGTGGAAGGCGAATTATTCACCTTATAAATAATCACAACGTCCCTTTAAGTAACATTTCGTTCAGTGTCTGTTTACAGACCAAGAAATATTTAACACAGGAAAAAACTACAAAATGAAGCTATCTAAGACTGCCAATTAGAGATAAACCAATACACTTTAATAAAAAGCAAACGTAAAATTCTAATTAGGAAAACCCCAAACACCTAATGTGCCTGGTTAAATAATTTCTCATACTGCCGGAGAGAAGGCTCCGGTTCAGCACTGAGATCTGGACGGGCCGCCTCTCCCCGGGCCCCGCCCCGGCCGCACCTTCAAATACCACCGGAAGTCCTCGCCCACAGGCCGGAGATTGGTGATGTTCTCTAGCGTGGCTTTGAGCTGCAGCGCGATTTTCTGAAGGGGAGGGCCAGAGCGACTGAGTCAGGCTCGCCTGCGCAGCCCCACGCCGGCCCGACCCCCTGGATTCCCAGCCGTGGGTGCCACAGGGAGACAAACATTCCTTCTGCCTCCCGCTCCTTCAGCGCGAGCCCACTCGTTGCTTCTTCTCCTGGCGCGAGCTCTTGCCTCCCATATCCTCGCCACCTCCCCTCCATGTCCCCGCCGCAGCCGGTCTCCCCTCACCCCCATGGTGGCCCGCTCGGTCCGGCGCTGGCTGCGGCTGTTGCTTTCAGGCGCGTCGTAAAAGACGGGCGCCGTCTGCGCACCCTCAGTGGGGCCTGGGGAAAACGACACCCGCGTTTTACGACGCGCCGGAAAGCAACGGCCGCAGCCTACGCCAGACCAAGCGGCTCACTGCGGATGGGATCTCTGCTTGCGGCTGTTTGCCTGATCCGCGGGGCTTTTCTCTTTTGGGGATCTGGGGCTAGTGGAGGTCAGTCAGGTCCGCGAGCAGCCCGTGCTCAGACCCACGGAAGCCTGACTCCAGGATTCGGTGCCACAGACCCTTATTGAAGGCCGATTTTGTGCCTACACTAAGCGGACACTACGCGCACAAGACAGTCCCTGCCCTTCAGTTCTTTCCTAGCTCTTCATGCCTGCCGTCGAACTTCTCATGCTGCCAGAGAGAAAGCTCCGGTTCAGCACTGAGATTAGGACGGGACGCCTCTACCCGGGCACTGCCCCGGCCGCACCTTCAGTTACCACCGGAAGTCCTCGCCCACAGGCTGGAGGTTGGTGATGTTCTCCAGCTTAGCTTTGAGCTGCAGCGCGATTTTCTGAGGGGGAGGGCCAGAGACCCTTCCTGCCCTCGAACTTCTCAGATCACGTCAGCTCCTCCTCCCCAGAGCAAAAACTACAAAAGGAAGAGTTACAAGACTGCCAAATAAAGATAAACCAATACACTTTAAAAAGCAGAGTGTATTGGTTTATCAGATTTGGGTATGGTGCCATTGTTTAAACCGCCCTTTCCTGTTTCATCCAAGAGACCTGGTTTCGAGGCCCCTCTCCAGAGGGTTGCCCTGTGTCCACATCCTTCTCACTGTGGTCCCTGAGACTGGACACTCTCCTTCAGCTGGCTCTTCTCTGGGGGCCCACCTGGCTTATCCTTCTATCATACTTTTATTGAACTCTGTTTTACCTAGTCTCCTGTCCAGGCTACATCTGAGACCATGCAGGAGCTGTGGACGTTAACGTTAAAAGGCACAGCTTATTCAAGACTCGTGGGAGGTGGAGCAAGATGGCCAAATAGAACCGTCCAGTGATCCACCTCCTCCTCTACCCTGGCAAGAACACCAAACTGAAGAATTATCCACACAAGAAAGCACTTTCATGAGAACCAAAAAATCAGGTAGCAATCACAGTACCTGGTTTTAACATCACATCAAGATATAAGGCAATGGCCGGGCGCAGTGGCTCACACCTGTAATTCCAGTGCTTTGGGATTACACTGGGCCGAGGCCGAGGCAGGCCGATCACCTGAGGTCAGGCTTTCGAGACCTATCTGGCCAACATAGTATAATCCCGTCTCTACTAAAAATACAAATATTAGCCGAGCATGGTGGTGCGCACCTGTAGTCCCAGCTACTTGGGAGGCTGAGGCAGGAGAATTGCTTGAACCCAGGAGGCAGAAGTAGTGAGCTGAGATCGCATCACTGCCCCCAGCCCGGGGGACAAAAAAAAAAAAAAAAAGGAACAAGGCAATGAAGAAGGTAGGAAAGACAGTCTTGAATTGCCACCACAACCCTCCATCATCCTCTGGCAGCAGCTGGCTGCCTGGCACAGATTGAAAATCTGTGTGCTTATGGGACTTTGCATTGGAACTGAGTGCCGCCCTGTCACAGTGGAAAGCAACTCAGAGCGGAATTCAACCACTGCTCACAGAGGAAGCATTTAGAGAAACCCTAGCCAGAAGGCAATCATCCATCCCAGTGGTCAAGTTCTGGCGAGCCCCACCATCACTGGCTAAAGTGCTCCAGGGTCCTGAGTAAATTTTAAAGGCAGCCTAGGCCACAAGGACTGCAATTCCTGGGCAAGTCCTGGTGCTGTTCTGGGCTCAGAGCCAGTGGACTTGGGTTGCACACAGACTAGTGAGATACCAGCTGGTGAGCCAAAGGAGTGCTTATGCCACCCGCCCCCCAACCCCAGGCAGCACAGCTCACAGCTCCAGGAGAGACAGGAAAGGAGAGGAGAAAGCAAAGAGGCCTTTGTCTTACAACTTGAATACTAGCCCAGCAACAGTAGAATAACCAAGCAGAGTCCTGAAGGCCCCTTGCCAGGCTCTGTCTCTCACATATTTCTAGAGCTACTGTGGGCCACAAGGGAACTGCTACTTTGAAGGAAAGGACCCCATCCTGGCAGGATTAATCACCTGCTGACCAAAGAGCTGTTGGGCCTAGAATAGACATTAGTAATAGCCACAGTACTGGGCAAGACTCCTGTTTAAGGAAAAGAGAGGAGAGTGTAGAAAGGACTTTGTCTTACAACTTGGGTACCAGCTCAGCCACAGTAAAATAAAGCACCAAGTAGATTTCTCAAGTCCAGACTCCATGCCCTAGCTCCTGGACAGCATTTCTAAACCCACCCTGGGCCAGAAGGGAACCTGCCACCCCAAAGAGAAGACATGAGCCTAGCTGGATTCACTACCTGCTGACGAAAGAGCCTTTGGGCCTTGAATAACATCAGCAGAACCCAGGCAATAGTCACCAGGGGCCTTGGGCAAGACCCACTGCTGTGCTGGCTTCAGGTTTGACACAGCTCAGGTCCAACGGTGGTGGCCACAGGGGTGCCTGTGTCACTCCTCTCCCAACTCCAGGCAGCTCAGCATGGAGAGACTCCATTTATTTGGGGAAAAGTAAGGGAAGAGAACAAGAGACTCTGCCTAGTAATCCAGGGATTCTCTCAAATCTTCACCAAGACTATCAAGGCAGTACCCCTGAGTCTGCAAAAGTCACAGCATCACTGGGCTTGAGGTGCCCCCTGATGCAGTTACAGCTGCAGTGACCAAAGATTTAGATCACAGCACTCACTTCCCTTTGAATATTTGGAAAAGCCTTCTGAAGAAGGATGAGTACAAATAAGCCCAAACTGTGAAACTTACAATAAACACCTAATTATTCAACACCCACAAGCATCAAGACCATCCAAGAAAACATGACCTAACCAAATGAACTAAATAAGGTACCAGTGACCAATCCCAGAGTGAGAGATATGTGACGTTTCAGACAGAATTCACTGTCACTGAGGAAGCTCAGTGAAATGCAAGATAGAAAAGGAATTCAGAATCCTGCCAGATAAATTTAACAAAGAGGTGGAAACAATTTTTAAAATCAAATAGAAATTCTGGAGCTGATGCAACTGATATACCAAAGAATGCACCAGGGTCTCTCAACATGCAACAATGAAGCAGGCTGGGCATGGTAGCTCACACCTGGAATCCCAGCACTTTAGGAGGCCGAAGTGGGCGGATCATGAGGTCAGGAGTTCCGAGATCAGCCTGACCAACATGGTGAAACCCGGTCTTTACTAAAAATACAAAAATTAGCTGGATGTGGTGGCATGTTCCTATAGTCCCAGCTACTCAGGAGGCTGAGGCAGGAGAATCACTTGAACCTGGGAGGCAGAGGCAGTGAGCTGAGATTGTGCCACTGTCCTCCAGGAGCCTGGGCAACAGAGTGAGACTCCATCTAAAAAAAAAAAAAAAAAAGAATTGATCAAGCAGAAGAAAGAATTGGGGAGCTTGAAGACAGGCTATTTGAAAATACACAGAAGAAATGAAAGAAAAAATGAGGGATGAAGCACGCCTACAATACCTAGACAATAGACACAAAAGGGCAAATCAATAGGTTATTGGCCTTAAAGAGAAGGTAGAGAAAAATTAGGATAGAAAGTTTTTTCAAAGGAATAACAACTTCCCAAACCTAGAGAAAGATACCAATATTCAAGTATAAGAAAGTTATAGAACACCAAGGAGATTTAACCCAAATAAGACTACCTCATGTCATTTAATAATTAAACTCCCAAAAGTCAAAGATAAAGAAGGATCCTAAAAGCAGCAAGAGAAAATAATACACAAAGAAGCTCCAGTACATCTGGCAGCAGGCTTCTCAATGGAAACCTTACAGGCAGGGGAGAGTGGCATGACATTAAAAGTGCTGAAGAAAAGAAAATGTTTATCTTGGAATAGTATACCCGGCAAAAATATCAATTAAACATGAAGGAAAAATGAAGACTTCCTAGGCAGACAAAAGCTGAGGGATTTTGTCAACACCAGACCTGTCCTTCAAGAAATGCCAAAGGAAGTTCTTCATTCTGAAAGAAAAGGACATTAACAAGCAATGAGAAATCGTCTGAAGGCACAAAACTCATCGGGAATAGTAACTACATAGACAAATGCAAAATATTTTGACACTGTAATTGTGTGTAAACTACTACTATCTTGAGTAGCAAGACTAAATGATGAACCTATCAAAAATAATAACCTCAAAACACAGTGTAAGATATAAATAGGGCCCAGGTGCGGTGGCTTATGCCAATAATCCCAGCACTTTGGGAGGCTGAAGCAGGTGGATTGCTTGAGCTTAGGAGCTCAAGACCAGCTGGGGCAACACGGTGAAACCCCGTCTCTACTAAAAATACAAAAAATTAGCTGGGTGTGGTGGCATGCGCCTGTTGTCCCAGCTTCTCAGGAGCCTGAGGTGGGATTGCAGTCAGGCAAGGTCATACCACTGAACTCCAGCCTGGGTGACAGAGTGAGACTTTGTCTAAAAAAAAAAAAAAATACACACACACGCACGCACGCACGCACGC